TCAGTATGTGTTGCTGTTGAAAGTGAGTGCCCGTGGGACGCAGATTGCATACCGACTGTACGACATCGTCACACCTGGGGTCCTTCCAGACCACCCAACACACAGTGATATCGTTCGACGACGCACCACACCAAATGCACCTGCTGTCACTGTCTCCTTCAACATGCACCGAATCTTGTCTATCCCTGCGCACCAACCTCTCCCGGACGGAGTGAACCCCGTCGCTGTCGTCAACCTGCGCACCGTCATGGACCAAGTCATCGACAGCATTTAATATATATATAAGTGTGTTAATGCACCAGCTTCTAAATGGGTTAATACGAGCTCTTTTAACTTGAAATATAGTTTCGTAATTTATTACTTCGAAGTACAGAAGTATCTGGATTGAGAGCAAGTGTTTTTAATCCATTAATAAATTTAGGAATATTAGAACTTTGATCAACGTTCAAGCGTTTGGTATTAATTGAGCACGAATTCTTTTCTTTTTGCTTTGGAATTCTCATTCTGTAATCGTATACTGTTTCAAAGAACTAATTAAATATTAATAGAAACATATAATTGCTAGACCTTTTATATATAATGGAGCACCATTTTGATCCGTAGATGCTATTTCAAGCACATTAGCCACAGTTGCTATAGCATAATAAACTATATTAGTTGGATATGTAAATAAAAGTTAAAAGCATTATTCAATGTCTTTGCATAATTAGGTAGATTATAAGCTAAATTAATGCTTGATACCAGACTGATTGTGGTACATAGAACAAGTTGTAAGTAGTAGTAGAAGTATTTCCATCATAAACAGTTGATTTAGCATAACCAATAAGTTAATCAAATTGAAATCGCTCTAATCAGTAGTAAGTTTCATAGTACTAGCTACTACTGGGAATCCTGCAAAATTAGCTGGTTGTGTATATCTTACATTTAGGGATGTAGGTACTACGTTTAGAACAAAGCTCACTCCATATAGACTTGGATTAGCGAGAAACTGCATGTTGTATAAATTATTAGACGTAGTACTATTAATCAAATATAGTTCATTTGCTATTAAAACCATTTGCAGGTATGTACTGTACTTATAGTTAAATCAGCAACAGTTGCATAATTCATAAATGCTGGAATAACTATATTAAAAAATAGGTAGGTACCACAGGCAATAGATTTGGAATGAACTGTTAGAATTAGTAATATAGGCCAACTAAAATACATTGATATCTTGTTTAGAGCTATTTTTTTGCCTTGTAAATTAGCAGATCCTTAATTTAACTGTACTTTATATTATGGAGCTAACTGAGTGTAGTATTCAATACATTGGTGAGTGAAGTAATGCCTATTCTGATTATGAATGATATTCGAAATTGATGCCATGGTCAATCAAAGTATGGTAGAACCTTTGAATCTGAATCTATATTAAGTATAAATTATATTCAACAAAAAGTATACATTTTAAAATTATTTATCATATTTACGTTATATTTGAAGTTTACGCCAAATGCTGTCTTTTATGTGCTGCTTCGTGGCTCAGAGATCACCGATGAACACAAGAACATGGTAGAAATGTACAGCAGCATCGATACTACGTAATGAAGTATCATGGACTGTGTTACGATGCTTATTGCAGGATACAATCACACCCAAAGATACCTATTTTCCAGTGATTGGGCATGTTTGAGGTCACTTCACGCATGCTAAATACGTGCAATCGCCGCACATCACATCTTGTTTTGTAGCCCGCAACCATGTCTTCAGTTTTCATATTAAACGTATCACGCCCAGACGTTCTGTTGCTGAGTAATTCAACTACTGTACAAAGTCATGCACTTTCTGGATAGTAAAGATTATCATAAATTACTACAAACATTGATGTTAACTTGCTATTAATAGTATGTAGAGATGCCGCGCGACAAATATATCCGACAACTACCTGATTGGTTAAAAGTAGAAAATTCTCTTAGCTTTCATTGGCGGATGCCTCTTCCATTTCAATACAATGACCAAGTGAAATGTCTTGCTTTTGTCGAATCACCACAGAACACACTTTTACATGACTAACAAGTCATGTAAAAGTGTTCTGTGGTGATTCGACATTTCACTTGGTCATTGTATTGAAATGGTGTTAAAGGAATTCGCAAGGTGAGCCACCTTGCGACGTTTTAATATCCAATCAGAGTCCATCACACCTTGCTTCTTGCACACGATTGGCTATAACACTGACTTACAATTTTGAACGGTTTGGACAATTGAATTTTGTAGAGCTTTGTGAGATGCTGCTCCGGAGAATTGTGCACTGATGAGTTCTGATGAGGTCACTCCGACTTTTTCCAGTGTGGTTCTCCCCTTACAGCTAACATTATGTTATGCGCTCGGTTGGATTGCAATGTCGTGGTGGCTCTGGTGGGCCAACGCGGTGGCGCAAGAGGTCTAGGTAGCACCCATCGCAAACGCAAAGTGCTAAAGCCGCCACTTCAGCACTTGCGATGGGTGCAATCAAGACGTCTTGCGCCACCGCCCGCGCAACCACGTGATCACACCGGCAGGGAGGTGTACGGCGCCGACACGGGCTGGATGGTGGAATGTGGGATGACCAATTTCATTGGGTTACTGTAGTAGGCAAGTGGTGAATTGAGACCTGTTAGAATTGACCGAGTCCTGAATACCACATCACATGATCTTGCTCTCATGCACAGCCTACATAATAACCTAAATGCTCCTTGCATCAACAGCCATCACAGGAGTAGAGTGTGCCGCAACCAGGCGTGATGAAGCATGGAGGTTCAACCCGTCGATCCTGGGCTGTCCATCCCTCCGCCAAGTCGATGCGATGATCAACCAAGCGTTTGGTCCGACCTTGGAATTGGAACGTGTGCGCGCCAAGCTGCTGCGGTACCTCCGTCACATACATGTATTGAACCAGGGCCAGTGCTCGTATTCGATCACGCCGTCGGGGTTGTACCCGCTCAAAACGTACCTGCCGGATTCATTGACGTGTGTCTGGAATTGCCGGACGCGGCCGCCACGTGGCATCTTGCCGTGACCCCAGCGCTGATTGGCGCCGCGACACCCGCTGCCGTCGCGATTATCGTGATCTGATTGGACATTTTTGGAAAATTTTGAAGCGAATTCCAAAAACAGACAGACACATGAAAAATAAAAATCAAGAATACAAACTTGAAGATATATTTAATTGAAACTATACAATTTCAGGAGTATTTATGGAATTCGCAAGGTGGTTACAAAATTGCCTATTTCACCTTGCTTTTTCTGGTTAATGACGTTTACAAAATTCAGTAACGTTACAAAGAATCGATCAATAGATTTGGCGATTCAGCACACAAGTCCAAATTTTGGGTATAAGGACAATAGTACAGTCCAAAACAAAATTATAGACGCACCCCAAAATCCTCGAGTTTACAATGAAAACAATGGTTTGGTCAGGAACGATCAATCACAAGGACACTCAAACAGTGCTTCCAGGCATCCCATAGAATAACTTCAGTCATGTATTAGTAAGTCCACAGAAAAATCCAATTTTCAAAATTTGGGGTGAAACAAAATTATAGACGCACTTTTTAATTGGTATTACATTTCAAATGTCAACTTCGTTTCTACTACGTAGTATTAATAATAGTACACGTACTAACGTTACTACCGTAGTATACCGCAGTACTACTACGTAGTAGTTAGTACCTATTAATAGCAGCCCTATGACTTATTATACTGTATGTATGGCACGACGGCGACGGCCTCCAACCTCCTCGTAGACCCCCCAACCTCTTGCAACCAAACTATATAGTATTACAGTTGAAAGCCCAAATCATGACGTCATGGGAGGAAATCGATCAAAACTACCTAGCACATTTGGTTGATGGTATGCCAACAAGAATGGCACAAGTTATCCTTCGTCGTGGACAATGCATCGATAAATACAAATATTTATCGATACACTGCCCACGACAAAAGACAACGATAAATACAAATATTTATCGATGCATTGTCCACGACGAAGGATAACTTGTGCCATTCTTGTTGGCATACCATCAACCAAATGTGCTAGGTAGTTTTGATCGATTTCCTCCCATGACGTCATGATTTGGGCTTTCAACTGTAATACTATATAGTTTGGTTGCAAGAGGTTGGGGGGTCTACGAGGAGGTTGGAGGCCGTCGCCGTCGTGCCATACATACAGTATAATAAGTCATAGGGCTGCTATTAATAGGTACTAACTACTACGTAGTAGTACTGCGGTATACTACGGTAGTAACGTTAGTACGTGTACTATTATTAATACTACGTAGTAGAAACGAAGTTGACATTTGAAACGTGTGCAAGGTGGGGACTTCCTTTGGAAATGCATAGTGTAACGTTATGGAATGTGACAGGGACGACCTTTCGGAACGAAGATCCAATACAACTGAACAGGCGAAACCAGCAAGGAAGGATGCTCCCGCCGCACACTTCGCTGGTCAAGTACGACAGTCCGATCTTGATCAGTACGACCAAGGACAAGAAAGGCGGGAACGCTGGAAAGAAAGCCAAGGGCGGCGGCAAAAGCGGCGAAACACCGGCAGACAAAGCCGGGATCCCATCCATTGCCAACGCGAGTTCGAGCCAGACCGAAGACATTTTGAACTCGATCTTGCCTCCCAAGTAAGACGCATCCTCGTCTACTTCTTCTCTCCAGTCGCCGTCCTTATCAACAACATGCAGGGAATGGACCGAGGACGGGCAGCTGTGGGTTCAATACGTCAGCAGCACCCCTGCCACCCGGTTGGATGTGATCAATCTCCAAGTAATTACGTTTGTTCAACCAATGTATTATCGTCATTCTCTTCTTGACCTTATGGCCATATATATACACATTTTCCCAGGAACAACTGGACATGCGACTCCAGCAAAAACAGGCGCGGGAAACTGGCATCTGCCCCGTCCGAGAAGAGCTGTACGCGCAATGCTTTGACGAGCTGATCCGACAGATCACCATCAATTGCGCTGAGCGCGGCCTCCTCCTGCTTCGCGTGCGCGTGGAAATACGCATGACCATTGCTGCGTACCAGACGCTGTACGAGAGCAGCATTGCGTTTGGGTACGTGCGCGTTCTGCAGGTCGTTGCTGCGAAACTCTCAAACATAACGCGACTGTAGGATGCGCAAGGCACTCATGGCCGAGCAAAGAAAACTCGATGCCGACCAAAAGCTCAAGCAGCTCGAAACCGACCGCAACGAACTCATCGCCCAAGTCGAAGAGTATGTATGCACTTTGTACACTCACTATATACATACATATATATATAATTATATTATACGACCCATTTGGAATATATATATATTCCAAATCGATTGTACAATATAATTCGGCTGCTTGCAGTTGGCAGTTATCCTAAACGGACATGGTATATCACTTCCAAATGTCCACGAAAACTGTGCCAAATGGATCATTGTACACTATGGGGCTTCTTATATTATGTCCACGAAGACAACATTGCCAAATGGCCACGAATACGTTGTGTTTTGACGTGTATTTGTAGATTGAAACTCCGGTGCGAGGCCATTCAAAAGCGAGAAGAGGAGAAGCGTCTGGCGGACGAGAAAAAGCACAACGACGAAGTGGATGGGCTCAAGAAAGCCAACGACCAGCTCAAAGCCAACCTCGAAAGCTTGTTGTCCGCCCCCAAGTAGAAACAAGTCAAAAATGAGGTGGAAACGCCCATATAATCATAGCATGGTACTACGTAGTACATATTACACGTCCATCACGATACTCAGGGGGGTTTTGTGCTTGGTCGATTCGATGATTTGGTGCGGCTCCTTCAATTGAGCAAGCACCCCATACCAATTTTGAATCGAATGGGCAATATATATATATATGACTACACGAATCCAGTGGCCAATCAAATACAAAATTCAACCAATGAAACATCGAATTAGTTTTTGAGTGAAATTAGTGTGGCACGGGACGATTTTCCCATACAAAAGTTTGTACAAACAATCGATCGACGGATTTGGCAAATCAGCATATATTGGGCGAGTCGCTGAAATTTTCCAGTAATGCGAAGGGGTCAAACGTTTGGATTAGCAGAAATTTGAAATGACGTGATTTGATTGGCTCAGGCAGTTCTCTAATCGATGATCCTCCCAAGATATTCGACTATTCTGCTCGATTTGACAAAATACCTTTTTGGATCGAGGAAATCCCTATATATTCGGGTAAAAAGGACAAAAGATAATACATGCATTTTTGCATATTCGTTCCGTCCAAACTGTTTTGGCTTGACAATAACGTTATATATATATATTATATATCTACAAACGGGGGTGGTTAGGACATGTACAGCACGACATCGTTGTGGAGGGTCAAGAGGGCGTCGGCGCTTTCGACGACAGCGCCGCGCTTGGTGCGCAGTTTCTGAGTCTTTTTCATGTTGAGTTTGGTTTTGGCCGCTACGCAAAGTTGGGTCCACTGGGCGTCGGTACTTCCACTTAAGAGCACCGCCACCGACTTGAGTTTTTTCGACTTGCCTTGTAAGCTGGACAGTGTCACACGTAAGGAAGGCGGGTGGTCTGTTATAGAAAGCACTTGGACGCTGTCGCAGAGATCTGATTCGATAGACACGATCTGGTCTTGTTCGTTCTCGTGATTCAGGACTGGAACCACTTCGGTTAAAGCTCGGATATGCGCTTCCGCAGAGTCGGCTAGTGCCCGTAAATGATACCCTATAATATATATATATACATACACATCCACGGTTGACTACGGTATATATATATATATACATTCAACGAGGGAAATGAAGCGCATTGGTAGGTATATATATATATATATTAATTACTGTTGTGTTTATTCTTCTAAACTGGAGCGATGAATGTAGATATACAGAACGAACGCATCGACGACATAACCAAACAAGACTCGGACGAAATCTTGAGCCAATCAGATTGCAGGAAACCATCAATCCCATCGAATTCGTGTGAGATACCTAAATTAGTGTGATTCCAATCCCCACAACTTTTTTTACATAACAGGAACCAAAATTCAGTACAACCAATATATCGATCGATGGTGGATTAGGCGAATCAGCATAAAAGTCCAACTTTTGCGTTCAAAGGACAATATATATATATATATATCCAAGAAAATCGGGTGATTTGTGGATATACGATTCGAAATCCCGTACGTTCAAATCGATTCGAAACAGGAGCATCGAATATCTTACGAGATTGGATTATAAAGAACCGTCTAAGCCAATCAAATCACACGTGCTGTCTACCAATTCAAACGTTTGATTGGGCTGTTGGGCAAAACAACCAAATATACTCTTTTCGCAGTGTAGTATATAGTGTATACAAGCTTAACTTGATTCGCATGCTATTTGGCGAAACCTTTTGACACCTTCAAGTCCAATATCGTAAAACCATACAATCAAAGTCTGCACACAATCTATCGACGTACCCCCCTCCAACACTGACACGATTCGGCCTTGGCAAACCGCCGACGCGATCCATACAAGCCGAGAAGTGACCCAGTAAAAGTCGTCCGCCATGAGATTCACATTTGCCATCGGATCGTCGCGGTGGGCGTCGAAGCCGGCGCTGATCAAGAGCAAGTTCGGGGCAAACGCGCGCAATGTCGGCTCAACCTACGCGACAAGTTTCAATATAAAAAACAATGTCATTTTTTGCAAATGTGTATCCATCGAATGTATTGCATATATATATATCGCATCCACACATATCTAGAAACTAGGATTCTCAACAATCTCTATATTTGTGGCAAGATAGATCGCGTATGTGTCGTTGATGTGCACACGATGAAATATATAACACGTGCATAGGATATTATAAAATGCAATAATTGATTCATCTCATCCTGAATTATACAATATATCGAATATTTCATATGTTATTACATGGTGCAAAGAAACATATTGGGGGATGTGGTACAAATTTCCAGCCGAATCACAAATCATCGACGGCTATTGGCTGATCCAATTTTTTTAAGTGGATTTGATTGGCTCTTACAGAGAGGAACAATAGTATATTCAACCAATCAAAACTCCAGCGTGCTTCCATATTCATTAGATCGCGAATTTCGCAAGTTTAGAGCGAATTCACAATATATCGGTAGAAAAATACTATTCTGAACCCCTAATGTTGCTATGATATTGCTGTGTTTATATTCTAAACTGGAGCGACCTTGGAGAATGAATGCATCAACCAAATGTACATGGAAGGATTTAGCCAATCGGATTGCAGGAAACCATCATCCACGTCGAATTAGTGTGCGGCTTCAATTAGTGTGATACCAATCCCCACAGGATACCTTTTAACATACAAAATGTCAAAGTATCGATCGATAGATTTGGCAAAGAATCAGCACAAACATCCAATTTCGCGTAAAAGGACAATATATATATATATTAATAAAAGAGACCCCACCTCGGTTCGAAACTTGCTCCGAAAAGCCGACGATGACGTAGCAGCGTCCATTTCGACATTGCACACGTTGCTGCTGTTGCGAATGGCGTGCCCAGAGTTCGGGAAGCACGGCGGCTTCTGATGTGTGGAAATGTAAAGCAATCGGTGCGCCATGTCGGGTGTCCGGGCTTTGGTATCGGTGCCGTTGCCGTGGTGGACGTCGAAATCGACAATGGCCACCCGCTGGACGCCGTGGCCCGCGATCGCATGCATGGCGGCGACCCCGATGTTGTTGAAGAAGCAGAACCCCATCGCTTTGTGCGGCTCGGCGTGATGCCCCGGCGGCCGCACGGCGCAAAACGCATTCGCACACGCGCCGGTCATGACGGCGTCCACAGCCGCGCACGCGGCGCCCGCAGCATGCAGCGCGGCCTCGCGTGTGTATCGCATGATCGTGGTATCTCCATCGATGTCTAGGCTCGAGTACTGCAGCAACGTGTCCCGTCTGGTTGCTACGCATGACGTCAGAATACGATGTGTGCGTTTTACGTAGAAAATGAGGGGAAAAACAGAAAGCGCGCGAAACAAAGGATCGTCGACAGAAAGGCGGTAACGTTACCGGCCGTGGCTCGGGGATCGGTGGCGATGCGATCGAGCTCGTCCATGGATCGCTCGATCTTGCCGCACCACTTCAAGACAGCGTTTACGTGTAGAGGGGTGTGGAACGCATGCAGCTGCTCCAATGTCGCCGCGGGGAAAGTCGTGATGTGCGGCATACAGGGAAAGACGTTCAAAATGCGATCGAGGATGACTTGAACGCTTCGTATGATGTTGGTTAGAAGCAATAACACGTCGATGCAATAGAACGCCGTACCGTTCGGGTCGCTCAGGATGGCCTTTGATCCGGTGTCGCACGCATGCTGCATGGCTGAAGAGGAAGGATTGGGTTGGCCGCGTCGTCGTCGACACCGGTTGATGTAGCGAAACGTCCTCCACGGAGCTTGGCGTGCGCCTTGAAGACTCTGGGAAGGTTGAGGCCCCAACATGACAGGGGTCGGGAGAGGAAGAAGTCGACGCCGCCGCCGCCGTCGCGGGTGTCGGTCCTTCAACGGCCATGCAGCACTGTCGATAATTACCACTTGACTTTAATCTATTCTTAACGTTACGAATGATCCGGATAGTAGAGCTAGTACTACTATAGTAGTTCGTACCTGAATTCGAAAACCCACTCCATTGTACTACTGTAATTTCTTAACTCAAAGGTCGTGGGTTCGATCCCCGGATTCCCGGATTCCCCAGATTATTTCCGCAAGGATTTATCCGTCCCTCCCCTGGGGAATCCGGATAACAAGGGCTGCGTACGAAGACGAGGACCGAACTTCGAAGAAGATCGGTCGAAGCACGAGGTATGAAGGACCAATTCCCCGAGTGAGTGGGTGACACACCCAACACAAAGCAAATCTTCCTACGCCCGGCCGACATTATGCCACACATCACCAACTACTACGTAGAATATAAAATATTTTTCCAACTGAACACAACTACTTCGAAGTACATATTTGTACAGTACATACATATATAGCGATGTACTTGAAGGGCTGCTGTGTGACGTACTAGTATTAATTTGTGCTTTGAAATACATTAACAGAATATTTGAGTTTGTGTGATGAATAGTAGTTGCGCAGCCCTACACTAAGACCTTCGTCGACGACTACTAGTATAAGCTTGCATTTGATCCAACACTGAATGCAGAATCACACTAATTTTATTTCGAACTCAAAGAACCCAACTCAAGAGCTTCAATCACTTCCACATTGATTGAATTGTACCCCATTGCTGCCTTGCATAGTGTAAGCGATGTCGAATCCGATTGTGCCCATCAAATATATATATATACCGGTATTCTTCGAAACGATATTACTGGAACCCCGACAACCAACTGAAGTCTACGCGTAGCTCACTGAAAATTGAATACAAAAGTTGGAGGGGGCAAGTAGTTGCTTGTGTAGATTGATGCTCCGAATTATAAGGAACATTTGTATTTGTCGAAGTATACTTTCGTCGTTCGTGTATATCACTGCCACTAACTGTAAGCCTAGCGACATTAATTAATTATTTTTCCCCGATATGCTACTTACCCATGGCTGCTGCCGTCTTGTGTGGTGTAAGCTTACTTTTAATAGCATTTCCCCAATAGACTACTCATGGCTGCTGTCGCCTTGTGTAGTGTAAGCTCAATTTAAGTGATGAGGTTTTCAAATCCCATCAATTTACTACTGTACTCGGAGGAATTACCACGAATTACTACCAGCAATGGTGCAGCTTACATAGAATACTGTTTAACACTACTTCAGTAGTATTATACTGTACTGTAGTATTCACCGTTGGTACGATTAACGTTCTACAACGTTGTTTGCCTTCGTAACGGTGTTTAACGTTAACGTTAGGATTGTACTCCTAGTACAGTGTACTTCAGGATTGTACTTATCGTAGCAAGCAATTACATACATAGTCCCACCCACTTACTCAGGGACGTTTTAGGTCAATAGTACCAAATTCCCTGAGTGAGTGGGCATTTGACCATTGAGTGGGTGTGTCACCCACTCACTCGGGGAATTGGTCGGTATGAAGCGTTGAGCGAAGTAAAAACCGAAGATTACACACCGCCCCTGGTCGAGCAGGCGCGTTACAATTGGCGAAGCGGTTCCATAACATGTGGTTCTAGTGTCGGCCCTCGCGAGGAATGTCTTAAAAATGATAATCCAAACTCAATTAACCACTCCATTGTACTAATGTTAGTACCTGACTTCGAAGTACTACTACGTAGTATTACAGTTCTAGTACTACCGTATACTATTAATAGTATGACATTTGATATACGGTATATGTACTGTCTCGTATTAGAGCGCGTCTGGCAACACTGTTTTTTCTCAGAAATATTATACCAAAACGCCATTTTGATGGAATAATGGAAATCTGGACCATTTTTTATCGAGATATTGCCAGTAAGTATATTATTGGCATTTTGAAAACATGGCTCCAAGGTCCATTTTGATTATTGAATAGTAATCGTGTTGGACTATGAGTTGTTTCCAAAGCCATTACAACACGGAACACATGTGCCGTGAGGTCCAACGCGGTTTGGTTGACTTGTGTGACCTTGTGGTCAGTTAACCTCCTTTTTGGAACCCGTTGTTCTGCTCATTTGCCTGAATCAGCTTGGGCTCGTAGCTGAGCGACAAGGAACGAAAGCACCAATGTACGCTTTCACACAAAAGGGAGTTTTCGTTTCGTTATTCAAAAATCACTGATTGCGATGTATTCGCCCCTTTACGAAATTCCATTT